GTCCTTGATGAATGGTCCAGTCAAAGGGTTGACTGAAGTTTGAGCTTGGATGGTGGGACTGAGTAAAATTAAACTGGCTACGTTCTGGCAACGTTAAATCGGGCTGAGTAAAGTCTTTCTGACATCCCAAGGACACTGCACTCTGGCTGGCTTGTTCCTGTCGGAGAAGGCAAATACCTTAAAGGCAAGTTGCCCAACTCAGAAGATAACATATCAATGAGATAAACCAGTAAACGTTCAGTTTTATAACCACCAAAGATGACGACTCAAGCTATTTAAAAAGAAATGAAGATTGTGCAGGGCAGAGAAGATTGAATGCTTGCACCAGACAATTCAAATGGTAAAAACAGAAAAGTAAGCTTCAAAGGTCAGCGCATGTAAACTATTGCAGCACTGGGAAGGCAGTTTGGAAATGTTCGCAAGACCTTTCCTCCACTCCGCTCTCTTTTTTTCTGCAAAATGGCTGTTTTGCTCTCCAGCACCTTGCTCAGAGGCCGGTCTCTCATGTGTCACAATTAGATTTGAAGTGCCAGTCATGGGTTTAACAAGAGTCGTCATCATCATCATCATCATCATCACAGAATCCCTACCGTGTGGAAATAGGCCCTTCGGCCCAACAAGTCCACACTGACCCTCAGAGCATCCCACCCAGACCCATCCCCCTATAACTCACCTAATCTACACACCCCTGAACACCATAGGCAATTTCCCATGGCCAGTCCACCCTAACCTGCACATCTCTGGACTGTGGGAGGAAACCGGAGCACCCGGAGGAAACCCACACAGACACGGGGAGAATGTGCAAACTCCACACAGACAGTCGCCCAAGGGTGGAATCAAACCCAAGTCTCTGGCGCTGTGAGGCGCATCCCGTAGTTCTTAACTACTGGCTTCAGCTAAGTCAGTGCATACAAATAGAATACAAGGAGGAGTTAGGCGCTGCAGAAATACTTCCACAATGTCAGGATAGCGCAGAGCACTCAGAGGTCAATGTGATGCCACTGAGTGTCATCATTGGTCCCAAGTAGGAATTGTAGTAGCCAATGTAAATACAATGCAATGCGTTTCAGTGGTGTTAGCAGAGGTATTAGCCAAGCCCAGAGTGAAATTCCTCTTCTTTGAGACAATGTCATGGAATCCTTCACATTGACCCAAGAATGCTGCTGCAGCCGAACTTTCACTTAAAAGACAGTGCAGCACCTTTAACAGTGCAGCACTCCCTCAGATTTCACTGGGGGTGTCAGCTTGGATTATGTGATCGAGTCTCTGGAGTATTACTCTCCTGCAAGAATCCACTCAGCATCAGGAAATGGGAAGACCTCAAGTTTAGTCCCTCCGACTGTTCGGCATCTACTGGGTGTAGATCTGGCAACTGGGTTAAGTTTCTCCAATTCTTGCTGCTTTCTTCAGAGGTTTGTGGGCTCAAGTTGAAAAGGTCAACTCCTGGCACATGTTCTTGCTTGAGCATCCTGTATAACCGGAGATGAAGCTTCCAGTGTATACACCAGGAGCATTGGTGCTCATGGGAGTTGCTCACTTTAGGACGTGAATCCTGTGCCCAAGATGATACAGGTAGCTCAGTGGTTAGCACTGCTCCTCACAGCACCAGGGACCCAGGTTCGATTCCACCCTTGGGTGACTGTCTGTGTTGAGTTTGCACATTTGCCTCGTGTCTGTGTGGGTTTCCTCCCACAGTCCAAAGATGTGTAGTTAGGTTAATTTGCCATGCTTAAATTGCCCATAGCATCCCCAGGGATGTGTAGGCTAGGTGCATTAGACATGGGAAATGCAGGTGACGGTCTGGGTTGGATGCTCTTCGGAGGGTCGGTGTGACTCGATGGGCTGAATGGCCTGCTTCCACACTGTAGGGATTCTGTGAAGATGAAGCTTGTTTTTTTTTTGAAAAAAAAGAAAAGTACTCCCCCACTACCAAATGAGGAACTGGTTGGTTTCTTCACTGAATTCTTAACCAATCAATTCCTTGGTGAAAATAATTTGGGAAGTCCCAACACTAAGGGAAAGGTTTGATATTTGTTGGGCCAACAGCTCTGGATTCCCAGTCCAGCGTTGGGAGTTCATTATTAACGCATAGTGACTGCATTATTTCAACTGCACTCCACTGTCTGCAATAAAAGAACAAAACTGACAATGACCTTGTCACTTTCAAAGTTTCTGAATGGTAAGCAGTGCTGTTGGCCACCAGCTACAGGCTTAGATAGAGGGAGAGAGATTGCCACTTAAACTGCCTGAGAGATGACAGCTTTAAGCACCTCTTTTGCAACTGATGTCTATTGCAGAGAAATAAGAAAAGCTCAATATCATTTGCCCAATACAGAAAGTTCAGGTCTCGGAGAACGCACTGTCCTTCAGCAGAGAAATTAAAAGCCAATTGCACTGAATATTAAGGATCCAGAATGCTAAAGAACAGCACTGGCTTCACTCATGATATTTCGATCACATTTGCTTTGTGCAGGGATATATGTTCTGAATCCTTCACAAGGATGCCCTTGTGGCAAAAGCCACTGCCTTTCGTATAGCGCTGCCGAGTGACAGAGATGCTGGCTGATCTGCCTGGGGTCTTGTTCCTGGCATTAGCCTGCTTCAACCACATGCCACTGGACTTTCACTGGAAGGGGCACCATGAGTGCTCCAGTCAACTCAGAGATCTCCAACAGCTCAACAAAATCACATTGCTAATTTCACTGATGAGAGACTTTGCTGTCGTTTTTACACAGACTAGTCACAGATTCCACAAATGGAGAAACTATTTCTGCTCTACCTATGATGAAACAAAGAGCTGCAAATGCTGGAAATCTGAAACAAAAACTGAAACTACTGGAGAAACTCAGCAGATCTGGCAGCATCTGCGGTGAGAGAAACAAAGTTAATGTCTTGAGTCCAGTGACGTTAATTCTGTTTCTCCTTGTACCACATGGATGTTGCCAGACCTGTTGAGTTTCTCCAGCAATTCCTGTTTTTGTGTCTCTGTATCTACACATAATAAATCAAACAGTTCAGTCAGTTCAGGTCTTCACCTTTTAAGTTCCAGGGAATACAATGCTCATTTCTATAATTGCTCCTCCTCACTTGTTAATTTGACCTGGTTTCTGGTTTAAGAAAGTGAGGATTGCGGGAGACAAATAGACAGAGATTATAGAGAATGCATCTCAGTGAGATGGAACTGAGAGTCAGCTGAAGGGCAGAGGAACAGACCAGCCCTGTGCAGGTCATGCCCCCACACCCCCCCACCTTGGTTACAAGTTCCCTCCTACGCTCAGCAGTCCTTGCCCTTTCTCTGCAGTCTCCTCTCTCCCACACTGTTAAACTCTCTGGTTTCCAGAGAGCGTGAGAGCGAGAGATCATCACAAAGTTCAAGCTGGCTTCAGACTTCTCTGCACTTCAAGATTTTGTTTCTTCATAGGATTACACAGTCAGACACAGCCTCCAAGCCCTGAATCTGCTCCCTGATCCCCTCGGTCTCTCTCTCTCTCCCCCTCGCTTTCCTCCTTAAATACTTTCCTTAAAACCTCACTTACGACCAAGGTTTTGCTCATCTTCCAGGATATCTCCTTACGTGACCTGCTGTAAGATTTGGTTTGCTCCTGTGGAACATCCTGGGATATTTAACTTCCCTAACGGCGCTAAATCAATGCAAGTCATTGTTCTCTTCACCAAATCACAGCACTGCTATTATCTGTTAACTGTGTAACTGTTCTTCTGGATTTTCCACTGCGGTTACAGGTCTGGTTCCTGTTCTGAAATTCACTGCACACAGTTACAGTCCATTCCTCCATTACTTAGAGATATTGTGGATCTCCAACCACTGCTCAGCTCTGCGAGCGATTCCACACAGCCCCCTGCTCTTCCATCCCTTTACCAATGATCACGCATCGCTGGAATCCAAGCCCTGCTATTCTCGGAGTTATCACAAAAGTTGAAGATCTTAAAAGAATGCAGAATTCCCCAATTAACCAGTCTTTCAGCCCTGGCTGGACAGAATACACAGACAGGCTTGGACGTCGATTGCTTGTGCTCGGGCAGCAGGACCACGGGGTTGTATACTGGGATGTGATGATTCAGCGTTTATTGAGACTATTTTTTGTGAGATGTGGTGGAGCTGCCGTTCTGCAGGAACTCCCTGGGACACCAAACACTTCCAGCTCTGGTGCATTACAGTTGGTGCTGTCCATCAAGACCAGCTTGGAACCGAGTGGAGATTTTTGTTAGGCCTCACTGGGGTAGTGCGCTGGGAATCAAGCCTCATTATTCCCAGAGTCATCACAAAGTTTAAAGATTTTATAAAAAGTACATGAAATTCCCCAATTTTTATTTAAGCCCCAAGCTGACAGATAGCACAGACTAGCTTTCTGTACTGAATAAGAAAGACTATTTATTATAACTGTCACCAGTATCCAGCATGGGCAGGGAACTTGGGGAGCCAGTTACATGAACTGGCCAGATCATGGCTGGGAATGGCTCGGAGAAGCTGAACGTGTCACTGCCAAAAGATGAATGTGCATGGTAAAAACGAACGGCCATAACCCTCACAAATATCGTCAGTGAGGCTTTGATCAAAACTAGACAGAAAGAAGCAACCAGTTCCAGAGCTAGGGAACCACACCCTCCTCCTGATAAGTCAGTCACCCTGCCTTGGTAAGGTCTTCAGGAGATCAAGGTTCTGATTTCCTGTTTTGAATCATGGATTAAATATTGTGGGAGAACTAGCATGTGCAGTGGGGAGACACCTTTCTGCTTGCTGGTTGTATGAATATTTCAGATGCTTCGTCGCTGGATAATGGGGGATTTTATAAACAATTATGAACCGCTAATATATAACCCTACTAGTTAAAACTTCAACTCCCTACATAAACATTACCCTCTCGTACAAAGAGCAGCAGAATAGGCAGCACCTGGGCTCCTGTGTCTGGGGCTCGTCCACTCTGTTTGCTTTGCTTTGTTTTCTTCTTTTCTTTCCCTTCTTTTCATGTCCTTATTTTTAGTTTTTGCTTCTACTTACCTCCTGGGGAGAGCTTGGCCATGGGGGCATCGGTGGCAACAGCATCAACAAGGAAAGCCAGCTTCGTCGGGGTCTGGAGCGTGGCAGTGGCTGGTGAACCCAGAGTGGTAGCTGATGGAGGGGACGAGCAAGGGGACCTGGTATCGGCTGCTTTGTTGGTGAGGGGGGCCCAGCAGCAAGAGATGGTGCCTGAGGAACAGCAACTTTGATGTTGGTTAGCTCCGGTGTTGGCATTGGCAAAGCAATAGCGGATTGGGTTATGGACTCACTTGAAGTTATCTCTTTTTAAATTTTTAAAAGTTATTCTTAAACTATTCAAAATGGTACCAGAATCATGGTGACATAGAATCATAGCTCTTCACTACATGTTTTGCTGTAAAATACACGTAACAATAAAATCATTCATTCATCTATGACATGGGTGTTATGGTGGAGGCTAACACTGGGAAGGCAATTCAGTGGCCCCTGTCCACAAGGTTCACTGAGGTTATCCTTCCAGCTTGCCAGCACTCGCTGCTCTCCGATCTCTCTCGTCCAAGTACCGTCACTTGTAGAATGCACAGACAGACTGGTTCACAGCTTACAAAGTCTCTGACTTACTGGTTAAAAGCCACAGCTTACAGCAACTGGAAGGGGAAAATAAGTTGCCTTGCTTCAGGTATTTTACTGCAGACAGAAAGACAGCACCTCTTTTTCTGACTGACTATCTCATTCACACCCACAGGCTGTGAAGCTACCTGGGAGCCAATCATACAGTTCTGGCAGGCACAGGGCTTTGGTCATTGACAACTAGTCATCACTGCACAGACCAATCAGCCACTTGTTGCTGACTGAATCTTCCCACAGAGTTTCAATTTATACGCACCCCCTAGTGTCAGTCTGCCTGCAGTAACCTGCTTCCACTGGTTAAAGAAGCAACAATCAAGGCAGCACATTCAGTAACTGTTGGCAACTTGCTTTTAAAAAAGATATACAACCCCTTCCACAATCCTCAGTTATAGAGTCATCGAGTTATACAGCATAGAAACAAACCTTGTGGTGCAACTTGTTGGCGCTGACTAGATTCTTTTCTATTTCAGTCCACAGTCAAAAATACAGAAAAATATCAAGATAGTTTGAGGTTGTTGACTTGCTCACTGAGCTGGCATGTTTTCTTTCAGACGTTTCGTCACCACGCTAGGTGACATCATCAGTGGAGCCTCTGATGAAACGATGATATTCTACTCCGCTTAGAATTTATACTGTCCGGTCCGTTATGGTGAGTACTCTCATTTCCGGTTTTGTTCTGTATAGGTTTGTATATGGGGTCCTATTCTATATGTTTGTTGATTGCATTACGGGTTAAGAACCATGCCTCTAGGAATTCCCGTGCGTGTCTCTGTTTGGGTTGGGCTACTATGGTTACCTTGTCCCGGTTAAACTGATGGCCTTCATTGTCGGAGTGTACTGATATTAAGGAGGGTACATCGTGTCGTTTTGCTGCTAGCTGATGTTGGTGTATTCTGATGGCTAGTTTCCTTCCCGTCTGTCCAATGTAATGTTTGTGGCAGTCGTTGCATGGTATTTTGTAAACTACATTGGCTCTGCATGTTGTGGGAACGGGGTCTTTAATCCTTGTGAGTATTTGTCGAAGAGCGGCTGTGGGCTTGTGGGCCACCATGATTCCTAGTGGTCTTAGGATCTTGTAGTCAGTTCGGATATGTTCCTGATGTAGGGCAGTGTGGCCGGTGTGTTAGGGCGTACTGTGTCCTCTTGTTGTTGTCTATTTAGTAGGCACCTGTGGATGAAGTTCTGGGGATATCTGTTCATTGCAAAGATTTTATATAGTTGTACAGAACAAAACCGGAAATGACAGTACTCACGGATCGGACAGTATAAATTCCAAGCAGAGTAGAACAACATCGCTTCATCGGAGGCCTCGCTAATGATGTTACCTAGCATGGTGACAAAACGTCTGAACGAAAATAAGCCAGCTCGGTGACCAAGTCAACAACCTCACCCACAACCCCAGCTACAAAACGTTGCTAAAACCTTAAAATAAGGATAGTCTTTACATGATACTTCCTAGACTTATTCATCTTCCAATTCCTGTCTAACTATGCACATCAGTTCTCTGGCATTCCAAGTTGATTCAACTAAGCAAGGATAAATGTATCTGAATATTGCCTCCCTCTGAATCGCAGAGATGTTATGGCACAGATAGCCATTCAGCCCATCATGACTAAGGGCCATTCTCCTATTTTCTTTTGGCTATACTCAGCAGACATCCCTGCATCTAACAAGAATACAGGGGAGGGGAGAGGAGAGGAGCGGGGGCGGGAAGAGTAGTGGGTAGGGGAGAAGAGTGGAGAGGATAGTAGAGGGAGAGTTGGAGAAAAGGAGAAGAGATTGGAGGGGATGGGGACAGGAGAGGAGGAGGATGGGGGAAGAGTAAGGGAATGGGAAGAGTAAGGGAATGGGGAGATTAAGAGGGGGCTTGCAGGGGATGGAGAGTGTAGA